ACTTTTAATTGTAAAAATGTAAAGCGCTCCTGTGATGACGTCAGGAATCTGTGTCGTTCGTGCGACGTAGTATGTCTTCAAGAGACCTGGTTGATGCCGCACGATGTACCCTATATCGGCACAATCGATAGCGGCTTTGGGTACACGGCAACGTCGGCGGTGGATACCTCTGCTGGTATACTTCGTGGCCGTCCTCACGGTGGTACGGCGTTGTTATGGAGACAAAGTTTATTTCGGCAGGTGACCGTGATACAGTGTAATAATCCTCGTATTTGTGCCATTAAAATTATTACTGGTGATAGACCTGTCATAGTGATGAGTGTGTATTTACCAACAAACACTAGTGATAACTTACAGGATTTTACGGACTGTTTAAGCGCGGTAAGCGCTATTGTGGACGAGTATGGTGTTGAATCTGTGTTTGTGTTGGGCGACTTCAACGCCAACCCAGGTGAGTTGTTTTACAGTGAGCTTGTTAGTATCTGTGAAGACCAATCCTGGTTTTGTATAGATGTAGATATGTTGGGGCTTGACTCAGGTACCTATACTTTTATTAGTGATGTGCATGGGACCAGCAGCTGGCTTGATCACTGCATTGCAACTCGCGCGGCGAGGCAGGCTGTTGTTGGTGTTAATGTCGAGTATGACACTTGGTGGTCTGACCATTTCCCTGTTATAATTAAGATTCATCTACATTTAATAAACCCGAAAACATCAACTAAAGTCAGTAGTGTAAATAAAGATGTTGTATGGGGTGTGAAAACAGATGAGCAAATATGTTTATATACTAGGGAGTGCACTAATAGACTGAAATGTATTGACTTTCCATCTGAGTGTTCTAACTGTGCGGACCAATTGTGTGGAGACCGTGGCCACAGGCATGTCCTGGATAAGCTTTATGCTGATATAGTTACTGCTCTTCGTGATGCTGCCGCTTTGGCGGGCCGGGGGGGTGCTCGTAATTGTGGGGGTGGCTCCCGCTTGGCGGGCTGGAGCGCGTGCGTCGGCGAGGCTCACGGGGAGGCTAGAGCTAAATTTAATATGTGGATAATGTGTGGTAGACCAAAATCGGGTATTTCATACAAAGAAATGCGCGATAGCAGAAGGGTATTTAAGTCGCGATTAAAATGGTGCCAAAAACACCAGGACCAAATAAAAATGGATGCGCTTGCTGCAAAACATAGTAATGGAGATTTCCGCGGTTTTTGGAAGAGTACAGGCAGATTTAATGCGCGATCTGGACTTCCCGTTAGCGTCGAAGGCGTAAGTGATTCTGTAGCGATAGCGAATCTTTTCAGAGATCAGTTCACTGTGAAATCTTTGTTAGACCCGAGGGATGTGGACAGTGGCGCTGAGCGGAACAACTTAAGGGTTCCGCTTAGCGCTACTCTTTACCGGGCCAAAGATGTGACTAAGGCTCTAAGAAATATGTCGACAGGTAAATCTCCGGGCCATGATGGGCTCAGCGTTGAGCACCTGCGGTATGCTGGGCCTCACGTTTCTAGGGTTTTGGCCATGTTCTACTCGCTATGTGTGAGCCACTCCTATTTGCCCGCGGATTTCATGAAAACAGTGGTAGTGCCTATAGTGAAAAATAAAACGGGTGATCTCTCTGATAAAAGTAACTACAGGCCTATTTCTCTTGCCACTATTATTGCAAAGGTGTTTGATGGTTTGCTCAACACGCAATTAAATAAATACATCAGAATACATGACAACCAGTTCGGGTTTCGCCCTGGGCTTTCTACTGAAAGTGCTATACTGTGCTTAAAGCACACCGTGAAATACTATATCGAGCGTAAAACACCTGTGTATGCATGCTTCCTCGATTTGTCTAGGGCGTTTGATCTTGTAGGGTATAACCTTTTATGGGACAAGCTGAAAAGCATAGATTTGCCTCAGCAATTTGTTAACATCTTTCAATATTGGTATGAGCACCAGCTCAATAGTGTTAGGTGGGCGGGAGCAATGTCGGATCCATATCGACTCGAGTGCGGAGTGAGGCAGGGTGGTTTGACTTCCCCAACCCTCTTCAACCTGTACATCAACGGGCTGATAGCAGAGCTTAGTAGTCAGCATGTCGGCTGCCACATTGATGGTGTGTGTGTCAACAACCTAAGTTACGCGGACGACATGGTGCTACTGAGTGCTTCGGTGTGTGGTTTGAGACGGCTAATACGGACGTGCGAGGAGTATGCAGGTGGCCACGGTTTAATATACAATGTTAAGAAGAGTCAGTACATGGTGTTTGAGGCGGTGGGGGCGAGATGTCCGAGTAGTGTGCCACAGGTTAAGTTAAATGGTATCCATCTTGCTCGTGTTGACAGTTTTAAATATCTGGGGCATATACTCACCACGGACCTTAGGGATCATGCTGACATGGAAAGGGAGCGTAGGGCATTGTCTGTTAGAGCAAATATGCTCGCCCGTAGGTTTGCGCAATGTTCGAGGGGGGTGAAAGTTGCGCTTTTTAAAGCGTACTGTACTTCACTGTACTCGTGCAGCTTATGGGCTGATTATAGTCAAACTTGTTACAGTGCACTCCGCGTCCAATATAATAATGCGTTCAGGGCAGTGTTGGGGCTATCCCGTCGTTGTAGCGCGTCGGGAATGTTCATGGAGGCGCGCACTGACGGCTTTCATGCGACTATGCGTAAGCGAGCTGGCGCTCTCGTGCGCAGAGTACGGGCTAGTTCCAACAATGTCCTGGCAATGATAGCGCAGAGACATGATTGTCTCATAATTAGGAATTGCTGCGACAGGCATATTTCAGTGCATATACCACCGAGAGTGCTTTAGTATGTCTGTTTTAGTACCAACATACTGCATGTGTCTGTTTTCCGTGTGTGTATTTAATTTGTATTTGTTTTCTGTATTGTTTTGTCTGTTTAAATGTGCTTACTAACATATTTTTGTAAAGATGTTTCGTATTTTTGATTTTGTTACTAACACAGTGGACCATTGATGTCTTAAATAAATAAATAAATGAAAAAATGAAAATTATTACAAGGTGCGCATTGTATTACTCGGTTCTCCTCCTTCACTGATGTAATGTTCAGATCTATAACGTACGATCTGTATGTAACACGCGAATGCGGTGAGGGAGCACCTTAAAATGTACTAATAATATATGTGAAAATCGGAAAGCTTTCCATCCTCTGCTCGATTATCGAATATGATTATTTTAGTTTCTCTAAAGTTTCTACCAGCCTTTGAATGCGTGTTTTACGCAGGAAAAAATCGACTTTTGTGATTATTGAAATAAAAATTGGGAAGTTTTTATTAAATTTTGGTCATGTACGTTGGGGCCCCGGACTTCGGAGGGCCCCAACGTGCAGGCGTTGATTGATACGGTAGTAGCTACCTACCTACGCCCCTAGCCTAGCTTAAGCCCCTAGTTTGCCAAAAGAGTTCTGGTTAAAATGAGATTGTTCTCAATATCCCATCCTAACTTTTTCTCACAGTCATATCAAAATCATCGATATTTTCGTTATTTTTGGCGCGGACTTCCTTGAGTCTGGTTGTGATGTTGCGGCGAGTGTCCCCGATGTAACTCGAGCCAGTCGCGCGGTATCATGTATACTCCGGGAACTGCCAGTGCATTTTGTCTTTACGCGAACGTAGTAGCTGTCGCACGATAAGCAGCGACTAGATACATTGGACATTAAGCGCCAAATACGTTGACAGACCTAAACCCTTAATACTTATAAGTACAACTCTGCCGGCCAGCTTTACTGCTCTAGTTATGATCGGATTTTCGAAACTAAATTCGGGCTGACTAGTCACATTAGGGCACACGACAGGAGATAACTATTAAGGGTCGCCGTTACCGAAATCGGTAAGAAGGACTATATAAAGTTGTCGTAACTAGGTCGGCGGAAGATAGGCCTGATGCTGTATCTTCGGCGTAACAGGTATCCAGTAATGTCGGTTACTCCTTTCAGTTCCACAAGGTAAGAATGCTGGAGTCCGCTCCGCAACTGCCGGTCGGTCTTTAACTGATGAGCTCGCCAATCGAGTAGGTACATTGACGCCAGTTGTACCCATATTCTCCAGTACGTTAAAACGTAAACGTCCAATCTGTCGTCGGCGGTATTTCTGAACCGATACGACCTTTAAAACTTCAAGAAAAGCACGTATACTTTTTTAAAAAGCCGGCAACGCACCTGTCACTCCTCTTGGTGTTGCGGGTGTCCATGGGCGGCGCTAATCGCTTACCATCAGGTGATCAGTCAGCACGTTTGGCTCCTATTCCATAAAAAAATGTGATCGAATTCAGCGTCAATGTACTGGGGATCACATAGGTGCTGTGCCCGGTTGATTAGTCTTGGGAACGGAGGCAAGGTGGAAAGGATCCTGATTCGAGTCGGCTCGTAAGTACCGGTCCGTGTGTGTCAGATTATGATAAACCGTATGTGATAACCGGCGTCTGTTCCACGACTTACGAGAACGTCCAGGAACATCAACATTCCTTAGTAGTGAACTGAATGTTGTCGTGCACCAAATTTAGGTGTACCATGTGTACCGCCACATGTTCCCGGTTGATGACCGCGAACACGTTATCAACATATCTCCACCAGTACGTTGGTCGTACGTCACTTAGGTACACCAGTTACGATAGTAAGTCGAAAACATAATAATTTATTTATTATGTCCCATGAAAGTTTTAATATAAGAAAACCTTTTTCGGAAACTTTTTGCACTATTCTTGGGTTGATGTTTGATGGATTTTTTTTAAGAGGGAAACTTCGAATGACTGCTTTCGCCCGGGTGAGGCGGGAGGGAGTGTCAGACTCTTACTGACTAAAAACTACCCCGTTCCTTCTCCTGCACGTCGAGCCGATACCCGGTAACCCGTTAGGTTCTCCGCGACATGTTTGAGGGATAGAAGTAGAATAAGAACACAGAATTACATTTCGTCATTTGTTTTATTGTTTATTGCTTAAAATGTGTTAATATTTACAGTATAGTTCCTGTTACATACTAATAAGTAACGTGTATCAGACTATGGCGAACTGCTCGTACAACAGCTCTCTCACTTTGTAGTACTCTTCAGATAGGACACCTTCCAGTGCAACGCGGCCGTTCTCCAACTGAAAGTATTTTGTTCTATTAAATTATAATACGGTAGTTGACAGGTAGGTAAATTCAATATTTTTATTCAAATGTCAAAAACGATACTTTTCTGCGTCAAATAGCATACTTATGTCGGAATACCCAATTTTAAGTATAGCTCTGACTACAAATTCTTTGTAAAATGACAGAGATGGCACGATATTTAAGCACGACTTAAAATTGAGTAACGTTTCAGTATTCCGGCAATATTTCCTTAAAACTAGCGAGAAATAATCCAAAAGCAGATAAATTGTCAAATCAATGGGTGAGAGTATGATTATTTTTTATTTATTTATTGCATTGAAAAGTTGAAACAATTTATTTTAAACCTAGGAAACTAGCCAATTAGGGAACCCCAAAACCATTTTTATAGATATTATAGATTTTGTATAATTATGGCGGTATCAAAGAAGATGGATCGATTAAAAGAAATTTGTGTCAGAACGACGCCTGATTGGGCGACACATAAAATAAGACATATAATGCCAAATCGAAAAAAAAAAATAGGATTTGGGCAAGAAAATTACTGATAATGCAGGATACTGGTGGGAACCAAAGATGGTCAACGCATTTGTAACTGTTCTGGTTGCGGGCGACATTGATAAACAAAACCAAAGGTGATAAATATTGTGTCGACTCCCAAACTAACAAGTACAAGAGCAAAGACGATAATAATGATTTTGAAATAGATAAGTATGTAAATGTAACTCACCCGGCGTATAGCCAGCGTCCCATTGCAGCACTCGAGCGCCCCCGCGGTGAACTCGGTGGTGAGGCCGAGCTTGCTGAGCGCGGCGCGCAGCTCGGACAGTCGCACCGAGTTGATGAAGGAGGCCGCGTGCGCGCCGCCCGGGGCCGCCTCCAGGCACATCGACACGTCCGACGTCGCTTCTTCTGCAATAGTACAAAACATCATTGGGTACTTTTCTTAACACTTTAATCGCCATGGGGGTCACCGGTGATCGGCGTTAGCGGAGGATTTACCTTCAACAGTTTTTTATTGGCAGTCAAAGTCTTAATCAAAAATAAATTGTGTCGACAGTTCAATACAACCAAATATTAAAAAATAATCACACTTTCAAGTATTAATTTTATAACCAACCTAATTTTAGTATTATTCCAGCAAATTTTTAAGAAATAAGTATGCTGTTTGATGCTAAAAAATGTGACATCATACATAATACACAATCTCGTACAAAATTCATAGAAAACTGTCGTTTTTGACAGTTCGAAAAAAATATTGAATTTGACTAGTTGGCAAGTAGGTACCCAATGAATATGACTGTATGTTTGGCTAACAACTTGTGCAATAGTGCGTGCGGGTTCGATTCTCGCACTACTGAGAATTTTAAAAACCCAATAATACTTTGCCCGACCCTGGAATCGAACCCGAGACCCCTTGCCTGGCAGTCGCACTTGCGACCACTCGGCCAACTAGGCAGAAATAAATTTCAGTCGATTAATAATTGAATTGAACGTCTTGGCTTTGACTACAAGCTATCATAAGACCAACGTACGCACGCAGCTCATACTTTTGGTCACCTGTATAGTTCTAAATCAGCCGAGAATTCTAAAATAGTCAACGCGACGAAGAACTACTTTAGTATGAGTACAAACATAAATAACAAAGCAGAATCGACTAATTTCCACTTTGTAATAACAAGTTAAATAAGTACAAACCCGAGGTAGTAGTGTTTTCCCGTTGGTGCGCCCGGGGCGTGACGACGGCAGAGAGCCAGGCGAGCTCGGTGTCGCCCGCCGAGCGCCACGCCAGCCCCGACATCAGGCTGTCCGTCAACTTCACCTGGAGAGTAAAATAACATAATATCACGCCTTTTATCCCCGAAGGGATAGGCAGAGGTGCACATTATGCCACTGTACAATGTAACACTATTTATGTTATGTTCAACGTAATAGGGGGTGAGCCTATTGCCATATACCGGGCACAATTCCAGGCTCCGTACTACTACTGAGATTTTTTTTAAAACCCAATAGTACTTGGCCGACCCGGAAATTGAACCCGAGACCCCTTGCCCGACAGTAGCGCTTGCGACCACTCGGCCAACGAGGCAGAAGAGTAAAATAATTTATTCATTAATACTTTTTGAAGTCGCGGGGCTTTCTGATGAACATGACTTTCTTGTCAGGATTCACAATCTCCAGCCCCCCAAAACTTTCAATGTGGAGATGGCTAGTCATAGTCCAGTAGTAGACTATTAATGTCCGATACTTTATTAATTATTTAATTTTCATGATCGTCCCACTGTAGGGCAAACGCCTTCGTACCCTCCTTGCACTCATAACATCACCTTTTTATCCCCAAAGGGGTAAGTAGAGGTGCATATTACGGCACTTAATGCCACTGTACAACGTAACACCCACTTTTCATTATTTATGTTATGTCCCATGTAATAGGGGGTGAGCCTTTTGGCATATACCGGGCACAATTCCAGGCTCCGTGCTACTACTGAGATTTTTTTAAAATCCCTGTAATACTTTTCCCGACCCGGGAATCGAACCCGAGACCCCTTGCCCGGCAATCACACTTGCGACCACTCGGCGTCCTTTCACTCTGTGTAAAGCTTTCGCGGCCAATCCTTGACATAGATGTCCAATTCGACCCGCCATCTCCTTTTGGGCCTGCCGCGATACTTACTTGAAGAATAATGTTCGAGAATCATTATCATATTATTATTTGTAATCTTAACAAAATCGTAAATGGTTTTTTTGTAAACTGAGAATAAGAAAATTATTGGAAAATATGTAGAGCTGCCTAATGGCCGCCTCTCGCTGCTTGAACGTCGCGGGTCACGTGTATATCGCGCATGCGTGTTGATTTCTTCCAGAAGATTCGAAAATGAAGGTTTGAAAATCGCGATGGCCGTGCAGAGATGCGGCAAGTGCGCATGTGCGAGCGAAGCCTAGCTCGGCTATGTTCGTACCGGCCGTGGGCGTTACATATTGTCATTATTAACCGCAAAAAGTCTACTGTTGAACATAACCATCACAAAATGACTTAAAAATCGGCAAAAAGATATTATAAGATTACAATTACGTACTTGATAGATATGGGACTCTGTGGTCGCATCAATGATGTCGCCGACAGACGGCATGTAGATCTTCTCTATACCTTCAGCCTCGCAGTGTTTTCTATAATAATTAAGAAAAAATACAAGTTTATTATCCTTCTTACATATGAATAAACAAAAACTTGAAGATAAAGTAATTGTATTTGAATAAACATGTGTCATTAATACAAAACCATGCAAGATGTTTATTGTTTGAAATCAGTGTCCAATACATGTTTTGCCCTTAGGGACGTACAAATTCAATTTTATAATTATAATCATTACAATTGATATATAATCAATTATTAGTATTTTTTTATCAGTTAGTATGATTTACATTAATACAATAAAGGGCAGCTTCAGCACAGTATATATTTTGCGTAACTTAACATAGCTTCATGGCTTTTTACTGTTTGAATCGGTTAATATAATTAGGGTAGTTTCTTAAATTTTATTTTAATGTCTGTCTGGTACATTAATTTAAAACTTTAGATACGTATTTTTTCTTTTCTCGCAAAATTAAATACTTTCGACGATATATTAATTTGAAATATCGGGTGTCGTCACAGCGTGCCACATTTTGTAGCACGTTATGATGTAACGACCTCCCACTTCTAAACTTAGCGCCATTTTATCTAAGTATTGCAAGAAATATTATACGAGAAATTAAATAAATACGTGTCTAATATTTTTCATCTTAATTATTCATATCTAACTGACGAACTAATTCAAATACAATTGTGCCAGACCCGGAACAACAATCTGTGGATCACACGGAGTTGTTCCGCGCGGGAATCGAACCCGTGACATGTTGCGTGACAGTTAGTTGCCGTCGCCGTTTAGTCATTTTTTTTAAAATAAGCCTTAGCCAGGAACTGTATCCTTTCGCAGCAGTCAAATTAGCAAGTTGCAAGCACTCCACAATACAATAATGAGGTAATAACACCACTATGATTGAATAATATTCTTACCTAAGCGTCATCAGAGCTCCAGGGTTGGCCCTAAGGCCGACTATGGCGCGCGGCTTGGCCTGCGTGACGACCCGCAGCAAGGACTCCCCGTCGCAGCGCCCCTCCAGCTCGATGTACTGGATGTTTGCTTTGATCTGTACCTGACGCAGCGAGGACACACACTTGCTTGGAATCTCTGTCATTTCCTCTGAAAATTGAAAATAAATTATGATTTTAAAACTTATTTGGTTTTTTATTTAATTTTGTAAACAACACATCTAAGTGCTCACATCTCTCAGTATGTAAATATAACATAACATCACACCTTTTTATCCCCGAAGGGGTAGGCAGAGGTGCACATTACGGCACTTAATGCTACTGTACAATGTAACACCCACTTTTCACTATTTATGTTACGAGTCCCTTGTATTAGAGGGTGAGCCTATTGCCGTATACCGGGCACAATTCTATACTCCGTGTTATTACTGAGAATTTTTAAAAACCTAGTAATACTTTGCCCATCCCGGGAATACAACCAGAGACCGCTTGCCCGGCAATCGCACTTGCGACCACTGTATGTATGTATATATAAATATACTGTCATAAAAATCATACCTAAATTATGACGTTTTTGTATTAGTGGTATTTAAAACTGTGAAACCGGACTTAATTAAATGCTGTAGGCATTATCTACCAATCCACCTCTGGGTTGGAAATATAATTTTAGAATATTAAAAAAAACAGTAATAAATGTGATAGCAAAGTTGCAAAGCAAAGCTAGCTAGCTATAGTCCATCTGTTTAGGTAATTAACTAAAGGTAAACAAAGAAAACCACGTGACACAGAGATACTTAACCTACTATTACTTCAAATATTTCTCGTGTTTTAATTTTAACTAAATTCACTTTAAAATCGTTCATTTGTCACACACACACATACAAGTACAAATGCCTAAATCGTACAAGAGCCTAGCCTATGGGTCTATTTCATTATCATGTTTAAATAGAAACTATTCTGAATCCGATGTACGGATTTCTTTCTTGTACGGATATGTGTCTTTGGGCCAAGTTTCTTCAATATATTTGAACACATTAATTACAAACGATGTATACCTAAACTTAAATAACTTAATAACAAAAACAAAACAAAGAAACAAGATAAATTCAACAAAATAGGAACGCGAGCGCAAACGACGAGAGAACTGTCAATGGCGCCTGATTAACCGACTAAACGTAATACACGCTACTTTCATTGTCGCGCTACATCTTAGTTGTACTCTTTAATTTGACAACATTATTTTGCTTCGTTCTTAAAGAAGGGTTTTGGATACCTGGGATTTTAGGCTCTTTATGGTGTCTATTGTAATGAAATATTATATTATTTAATAAATGTTATTAAATTAATATCCTCAAGCAGATATACATAATATTTACTAAGAAATAAGTGAAAAGGAACAGAAACATAACATTTAATAGAGAAAACTGTCGTAAAAAGGGAAACAATTTTATTTTCTTATGAAGTATTTTGAATCATGGAAATGTCAACTATAAAGAACTCTTTTTATGGTTTGTTTACAAATAGTTAACTACCTAAACAGACGGAGTATAGTGTTTTCTTACCATCAGGCTCCTGTTTCGGTGGCGGGGCGGGAGGTACGTCTCTGATTTCCCCCTCCGCATCCACTATTTCGGCCAGTCGGTAGTCATCAGGCTGCAATAAAAAAATAATAATTATACAAGTGCCAATCTGTTAAAGAAGACAGAGCTACGATATACGCTCGAATACGGAAAGGCTCCTCAATTTTAAGTTGAATTTAAATATCGTATCGTCTTTGTCATTTTACAAAGAATTTGTAGTGACAGAACAATTTTTTTTAAGGGGGGAAAATCATCGAATTACTGCACCCGCCTGGGTGAGGCGGGAGGGAGTCAGACTCTTACTGACTAAAACCACCCCATTCCTTCTCCTGCACGTCGAGCCGGAGCCCCGGTTACCCATTAGGTTCTCCGCGACTTTTTTATGGAATAGGAAGCAAACGAGCAGACGGATCACCTGATGGTCAGCGCCGCCCATGGACACCCGCAACACCAGAGGAGTCACAGGTGCGTTGCCGGCCTTTAACTATGCTTAAGTGCAAGTGCTTACGCTAAGTGTATGCAAAATTGAGTAGCGTTTGAGTATTTCGACAATAGTCATTTTTAAAGATGAAGAAGACTAATTAGAGGTAGAATTTGGGTACTTAGATAAAAATCCTTAACACATTTTTATTATTAAAATATATCTTTAACTCTCATATCCTATAAAAATATCTACCTTAGGCCGTGCGCTGCGTTAGGCGTGCTCATGTAATCCCATAGATCAGCGTGCGCCTATCATCAACAGCCTATAAGTAAGTGCCCACTGCTGACCAAAGGCCTCTTCTCACAAGAAGAACATTTGAACATTAATCACCACGCTTACTCAATGCGGGGACAATTTCGAACTTATAATTGGAAATTATAAAGCTCAGATTTCCTTACCATCTTTTCCTTCACCATTTATCAGTGGTGTCGAAATAATCTTAGAAAGTATATATAACTGGGCAAAAAGTCACATTGGTACTCGCTGGAAAAAGTCACATTGGTTTCGAACGCGCACCCTCATGCATGAGAAGGCGTCAACCGCCGAGCCACCATGAGTCTTTAGCCACTATGATTCTTGACAACAAAAAAAACCATATCTACCTTGATCATTTCTCCATAATCATCAGCCCTGGTCCGTTCCTCATGGAATGGGTACATGGCATGATGTCGCTTGTTAGTCTTGAAGTACCCAGTGGCTCGTACATCGTGTCGCACCGGTATGTCATGTTTCCCTGTTACTACCCACATCTCCAGCTCGCCGTCAGAGTCCGAGTCTGAAGATATCCCCGCTGTTTCTTCTCTGGAAGGTGTATTATAAGGTAAAATATTATCATACAATTATTAGGGAAATTATACTGCAAATGGCATGAATACATATTAACCCCTCGAGCGTCCTTATGAGCACCCAGTGGATCATAAGAAAAAATGCTCCATGCTGCTTTCTCTTTTATAAAATCTATTATTAATGTTTTGTTTTTATTTTGACTGTCTTTTTTATTTCTATTGTAATGATCCTTGTTTTCGTGTGCCAATGGTCAAATAAATGCATTTTCTTTCTTTTTCCAAATGTCACGTGTGCACCCGTTGGATCATAAGGAACGCGGTCGCTCGACGGGTTAAGTCATGCCATATAATCTCCGAAGGGATGTAGGTACTTAGGTAGCGGTGCACATCTGTATACTACAATTATGTAATAATTCGCTTGACCCAGAAATCGAAATCAATTTCCCTCTCGGCACTCGAACTTACAATCACATGAACAATGAGAAGGTCACTAAGATTTAGTATCCTTCTTTATAATAAACTAACGACCCGCCCCGGCTTCGCACGGGTGCAATATGCATGTATTATACATATAAAGCTTCCTTAAGAATCACTATTATCTATTAAAGAAAACCGCATCAAAATCCGTTGCGTAGTTTTAAAGATCTAAGCATACATAGGGACAGACAGACGGCGGATAGAGACTTTGTTCTATACAATGTACTGATAATTCCAAACTCCGTGACTACAGAGAAATTTTGAAATTTTCTAAAAGTAAAATTTCCTCAATTATTTTTCCTGACTCGTGAATTAATCCCGCAAAGCCACATTTACGAGCACTCGACCAACGAGATTAGTCATAATTTACTATCCCTCTTAAAATAAAGCAGTATACTCATCAACAGCCTATAAATGCCCACTGCTGAGCAGAGCAAAGCCTCTTCTCACACGGAGAAAGTTTGAGCATTAATCACCACGCTTGCTCAATGCGGGTTGGCGATTTCAAACTTATAATTAGAAATTATAAGTCCAGGTTTCCTCACGATGTTTTTCTTTCACCGTTTGTCAGTGGTGTCTAAATAATCTTAGAAAGTACATATAACTTGGAAAAAGTCACATTGGTACTTGCCGTTGGTAGGTTTCGAACCCGCACCCACCACGACATTTTACTTTTACAGTATACTCACTTGACAGTATTATTGACTTTGACCCTCAGGTTTTGCAAATACTCCTCTAGTTCAGCGCCCTCGAGTCTGACGCGGCGGCGCACGTTCAGTTCTATGGTGCGGTCGCCGCCCTTCTCTATCAGGTCGCGGGCTAGGGTGCCTGGGGATGACCTGGGGGCAATTTTGAAATACATGTTATTGTTGGTGTTTTTTTAATTATGTAATTTATTATTGTGTTAAATGGTCTAAAATCTATTAAAGAAATTCAACACTTACTTATGTTAAAGTCATTGAAAAAGGCGACAAGAGTATTGACAAAGACTAAGATAAATTTTACTCAATATTATTGACAGACTTAAGAACAACACAAAACATTTTTGCCAGAGAATCGAAATCGAACCGAAACAGCTGAATGGTATAAAAGATATCAAATCCACAAAGATAGGGCATTCAAGTTGAATTTAAAACTAAATAACACAACAAACCTTGTTTTTATAATAACTATCGTGAGACATACTAAATTAAGTAAAAACGCGTGTTACTCACGTGAATATACTAAGAAATGCTCTACTAGTTTTGAGCCACAGAGCCTCATGAGCAGCGTGCGCGGTCGCGGCGACGTCGCGCAGCTCACTGAGTGAGCAGCTCACTGAGTAGTACAGCTTTTCTCAGTATATTCACGTGAGTAACCCGCGTTTTTATTTACTTAACAACAAATCTTTATTAAAACTCACCGGGCAGTCAAAACAATAGAATTCTGTGAGTTAGGAGCCCACAAAAGGAACAAGTCTCTTGCGAACCCACACTCTAAGTCCGGGAAGGAAGCCAGTACGACCTTAGGTCCTGGAGTACGGCTGACCTCACCAACGGAGTGACATAGTTGAAGGTGACGGAGTGCGAAGGGATTGCTGCGAGCTCCTTCAAATGCACGGGTCAGTTTGTCACTCATCCATTCTATCTGTAATATGTAAAAAAAGGACCTGATGAGATTCTATTTGGAAATGCTTTTGAATAGTAGATGTGATGATTTGGAGATTCTATTGGCCGGAAATATATTAATTTTATACGACATCGCATCGCAAAAATGTGCGAGCTCCCTCTACGCATAGCAAGAACTTGTAAATTGATTCGCATCGCGCATCAAAATCTTATCTTCACAAAATCATTTTTGTTTCTTTTTCCTGTATCTCCTAACCCATAACAAAAGTGCACACTTCTTTTTACGATCCATAGCACGACCAAGTCTTCAATTTAAAATACGTTTAGTACGGCTGACGGTCGTCGAAGGAAAGGTCACTGGGAGACGCCTTGTCGCACAAAATCGCATCGCAGCAATTCGTGTCGTAATTTTCTGCGTTGTGAATTAGCATGGCAGTTTTGTGTAGGAGCCCTAAACAAGTATACCTGTGACTTGGCAAACTCCACGACGTTGTAGCTGACGTTGGACAGCAGTAGCAGCGAGTACGCGACGAGGCCGGAGTCCTTGTTCCTCCACAGCTGGTCCAGCATGTGCGCCAGCTCCAGCACGCGGCCGGCCGTGTCCGAGCACACCAGCACGCAGCCCCCGCCGCGCAGCGTGCTCAGGATCGTGGCTGGAAATATTGGGCTACTCATTAGGAAAACCTATTTTAAACTGTCAAACACCGCGAGGACACCGGTGACCGCAACCTAATGATCTTTAATTGTGTCTATAATGACGGTACTCAAACAGTTAACCGACTTCAAAATAAGAAAAAAAGCCGGGCTAGGGGTCTCGAGTTCGATTACCGGGCCGGACAAAGTATTACTGGGTTTCAAAGAAATTGTGACTGAGTCTGGAATTGGGCTCGGTACATGGCAATAGGCTCACCCTCTATACATGGGACTCATGGAAATTGTGAAAAGTGGGTGTTACATAGTACAATGGCATTAAGTGCCATAATGTGCATCTCTACCTACTCCTTCGGGGTTAAAAGGCGTGATGTTATGTTCAAGAAAAGAAAGAGGTTCTAAATTTGACATGTATGTATGTTCGTGCGCGATCATCTCGCGATTGGCTGAATCGATTTTGATATGGTTTTCAGAAGTGTTTATTACACTTAGGAGAGGAGCATTAATGAGCCGATTTAAAAACAAAGAAGGGGTTAAGTTATTTAATAAATTCAGTATGTAAAACGTATAGCATTTAATTTGCAGGTAAACGTGTTTTGTAACAGATGGCTAGCTGGTAAACATTTTACAGTGAGCAAAAACTAAATAATGAAGAAGGAATTGATGCCTTTATTCGATGGAAAATGCTTTACCAAGCTCAAGTCTATTAAACATTTCATTAACAGAATCTTAGAATTGATAAAGAACTTATTGAACTCTTAAGAAAAGTCCTTTACTACAGTCCACAATTAAAAGAACTGATTAAATTTATACAGTGTCACTTAAAAACCACAACACAGCACATGTTAAGTGCGCCTGGGAGTCTTCAAGGCTGGAGTGAATAGGTTGCTTATGGGACGACGTGCTCCATCGTAGACCGCATCGTCACTTATCACCAGGCGAGATAGTGGTCAAACGTCGCCCTATCAAATATATATATAAAAAAGTTGGTTACAAAACTTTATATCAAAAATAATACAAAGACTTACTCATAAGCTTCTCATCTCTCAATCGTCTCCTCTGCTGCACATAATCTGCGTTCATAGCGCCCAACAGCATCAGGGAAGGTCGCATAAGTCTTTCGATCTCGCATCCATTCAAATGTCTTTCCTTTTTATGGTTGAAGTCTGGAGCATAGACTATGTCTTCTTCACCGGGAGCTGCGATACGCCATACCGTGCCTCCCAGAGAGTGGCCAGCAGGTAACGGTGTGATACGAAGACCTAGTCCTTTTCCTGGAACATGTAAAATTATGATTTAATGACTAGTGTTTAGAATGGATGGATTTTGGTGTGTAGAACTTGATGTGAGCACCATGTTAGACTTAATTTTTTTTTATTTTAGTATGTTTTGTAATTAGTATAATGCGTCAAGCTTGTCTTTGCATTGTTCTCACATATACATATATACAGTATTGGAATATGTATCAGAGACATTGTAGAACATACTTTTATTTAAACGAATGGTGTTTATTGCTTGTTCTTCTCCATTCGAATATACATTTTGGAATTTGCACCTAGCTTCACCTAGCTTCACTGACGGACTGACTGACAGACTATTATTTATTTTGTATTTGTTGACGTTTCAAAATTACCAAAATATGGTTTAATTAAAATAAATGCTTTGACTTTGACTTAGGTAAATTGAGTTCTTTATTTATTTAAACTTCTTTATTTTTTTCTTTATTCTTTGTTCTTTATTTATTTAGTTAAAGGTGGAAAATACTCTAAATATCAAACTTTTACTGCATAAAAACAACTTGTGATAGCTCGAGTTTTATGCACAAAGGTTCTTATTCTCTTACATTAAATTTAAACTATGTTTAGGATCTATAGCTGAACATAAGAAATTCATGTCTCAGAACCATTTTAAAACAATCAATTAACTTTCAAACCAAGACATGTCTTACACAATAATTAAATTGTTCCACAATATTACGACAACTTGAAATGTGTTCAGTACGACAAGCACAAACAAATAAAAGATTAAACAACTACAAACAGCTTTGTAAAAAAAAAATACTTTTAGTATAAACACCAAAAACAATAATAATAAGCCAGGAAAAATGTGACTGTTAATTAAAAATAAAAGTAACAAAAGAACTCACCTTTCATATCAATACTCTGGTTATACTTCAGCTGCACGATCCTATCGAAGGCAGCATCAACATCGTCCAATGTAAACAGATCAAATTCTGACACATTTCTGTGTGCCTGGTACAAGTCATACATGAACATTTGTCCCATTTTGTATACCGGTAGAGTAGCATATATGGGACAGTTCAGACCGAGCTTCCCAACAGCATATGGTAGGGCTCCGAGGTGGATAGGGTCTGAGTGTGATATTAAAACTGCGTCTATTGTGTTTATGTGCCTGAAAAAGATAGAAGATACATAAAGAATATAAGAAAATGATATATATATTCTGATGAAAATGTTTGTTGTTTAATATACTAATATTATACAATTGTTAGTGGGCCAATAAAGATGAAATAAAATATGAACTGTTATTGTGTTTCTTCATTAATTTTTTTTCTGAATAATTACCAAAGTTGCTCATATTATCCCATAGTTAATAATACACTATAGTTGGTACACAATAATAGTACAATAGAATAGTATCGAAAACATAACCTCAAATACCTACCTTTTAAGTTCTTTTATGAAGTCCATGTCGAAGTTTTCGTCCCACCCGCAGTCTAGGAGGAACTTAAATTCGTCTATCTGCAGCACATAGCATGGTGGAGCCTCATTACCAGCCCCTGAGAGGCAGTGTAACTTGATGATCGAAGTCATTTTGAAGCCGGCTGGATTAAACTATGGGCTTCCCAACTCCCCGTCGTCAAGATATCTAATGCATACACATATTTTCTTTCATAACTGGTAGCAAAAAAGGATATGTAACGTTTCTTAATTATTTTTAAATTATTTTGATACAAATGTTTTCGTTTTAAGAAAATTATCGTTTACGCGGCGAGCATAGATTAAAAATATTGGCTTTGACTTTGACAACTGACAGATGATAACCATGGATGCGCATATCAAATGGATGCGTTCAAAATATTACATACTATTTTTTTAAGTTTAAAAATTTTAATGTGCACTGGTGCACCACTCATGTTAACATTTCCCGTGTTAAATGAGAACCATATATTTTTTCACACGTCATAAGGATATCCTGGTCATGCAACCAGTCTTCATTAGCTCCTGTGGCCTAAAACTCGAGAGTTTCCCCTATACTTATTATACTCTTTGGTTTATTGTTAGTGTATTTTTTTGCATAATTATTATATCTCACAATTTCCAGACTGGTCAAGTGAATGAAAATTTAAATATGCAATAAAACAAGAGAAAGTATTACTTATGTTCATTTTAATCCTATTATGTTACCTGAAAGCATTTAAACACACTTTAAATGCGAAACAAGACTAAATTAGTATTTACAAAATTATTATAACTAAATAGTACACATACACATCAAACATCAATAAAATGTGACATTATTTCTTTTTTTGGCTTGGTTTTAAGATTATAATGTCCTCATTGATAAATGGTGGGAATAATAGAGCTCTAATTCTGTCTTTTATTGTGGTGTCATTCCCTGATGCAGCTGTAACTTGGGATGGACCACCTTCAGTTTTAGAAGCGTTACTTGGTTCTGATAATTCTCTTGCCATTATAATTTTGTCACATACATTTTGATTTTCATCATCAAAAGCTGACGTGGAAACATCAAAACTTGCACTTGTTGTCTGCACCGTCTGATCAGTATCAATTGACATGAATTCGCTTTCATTAGAATCACTGACTGCACACGGGAGTTCGATTTTGGAGAAACCCATTTCACTTTGGGGACAAAATGGACACTTTGTACAAAACGCATTTTTATAATCACTAATTCTTTTATAATCACTGTAGGAGCCAAAAGTATATTTAGATCCATTTAGTTCTGCTTCACACATTTTATCAGAAGTTCCTGATAAATCATCATCTTTTTTGCTTTGCGGCGTGTATAGAAGTTTATTCATATTATCAAGTCTAAACTGAATTACATTACGATCACTATGACTGTGACTGTAAATGTTTTCACTAGAAATTATGGGTACTTGTTCTTCATTATCGTCAATTATTAGAACTGAATCTGTTTGGGCTGATGTATGCATAGATTCAGATATTTTAATATTTTCGCCATTAGTCACATTCTCATCAGTATTTTCTTTATGACTTGTTTCACCTTCTTTAATTATTGTTTCTGTAGTGTTTTGTTCGATCTTAATTCTATTCGATTCGTTTATCTTGGGTGAATTTGAAGGGTTGGTTGTTTCATCCGCACAGTTTCGATTCTGGGACGAGTCTTTGGAAAGGCTGCGTTTAGACTCATTACTTATAAAAACTTTTGCTTCCATTACTTTCCGCACACTTTGTACGTTAGAGCTTTGTTTGTTAACTACATTCTCAGTTTCGTAACGATCACTTTGTGAAGATGTATTTTGAACAGCTGGTAGTCTCGACATAACGGTTTCAAATTTTGACTCAAAACAGCTTTTAATGAGATTAGCATTGTCAGCTGAAGATTTAGATGGAATATTTAAAATAATATTTTTGTCAATAATTTGTAATTTTTGTGGTGTAATACCATCAATACCAGATTGTTTAGCGGTTTCTGCCTGAACTTTTGAGACACCTTCAATTCCAGGACTTGATGTTTCTCTACCAGGCTTGTGCCCTATTTCATTGTTTTTGGCAGTTTCGGGTATCATAAGATTAGTTTGTCCTTTTGATCTTTCTTCTATAGATGACTTATTAGGATTACTCTGTCTATTTCTTTCTGGCGTGGTGATATTAGGATCACTTTGGGTATCAGATATCTCTTCAATAACAAGATTATGTTCTGATTGGTCTTGTATGGTCTTCGCCTTGGTGATTGTGTCTTCATCTATATGAGAGCCACTCTGTAAAAGATGGGTATTTTGGCCTATTTGTGCAGTTTCACGGGTATTCAATAATTCTATTTTAGGCTTATCCTTCAAATCTTTTAACTTCATGGAGGCGACAGTAGTCAGACTACGATCTTTTTGGCTTACAGACGTTTCTTTGGCAATAATAATCGCAGGTTCTATGTCTGTTACAATATTATTATATTTTATTACAGATTCACATTTTCTTATACTTTCTGTTTTCGATTCAGTTTTAAAATGATCACTATGAACATTTGAACTTGCTTTGGTGACAAAAAGGTCTGATTTGTTTTGTTTCATGGAAATAATTTCTGTCAAACAACGTTCAGGCCGGCCCGTAGAAGACAGACGTCTTGGAAAATTGCGGTGTTCTAGTTGCATTCTCTTATTTTCAATAGAATCAGAATCTACACCACGGTTAACTTGGGTGTTATTTGAAGTTTCTCTATCAAGAGTAATTTTCTTTGCCTTTACGTCTAATGTATTGTCTCTTGCTCCAACATTAGAATGTTTTGATAACGTAGATATCTTTGAAACAATATTGTGAACAATTTTTGTGAATCCAGAATCCTCTACGTTTTTAACATTTGAGTGTTTTTTAAAAATATTTGGGAAACTTTTTCTGGATATTTTGTGTTCAGGCTCTTTGTTTTGAGATGTACTTTGATTTCCATTGAAACTATGTCTAGTACGAGATAAAGTTGTTTCAACTTCATTGCGCTCACGTTCTCGATGAACTCTTGCTGAAACAGTTTCAACTGGTTTACCATTTTTTGCGATTGTTCTATTAGTACCTGTGTCTACAATACGACTATCATCGCCCATATAAAATAGGTCACGAATATTGGAATCACTTCGGTTCACAGATGTAGTTGGTCTTGCAGCAACATGACCATGTTCATTTGGTTGAGTATTTCCTAAGCCTGTCTTGAAACAATCATTTTCATTAGGCTCTTTAGGTGCGTGTTGTTCATGTCTTTTGATAAGTATTTTACCAGTTACGTTTGAATTGCTTTTAGTATCATGTGTTTCTTTCTGCGCTGCAGTTCGTGCTGTCTCACTAATTTTAAGGGAAATGGCGTCATTTACGGTTCTAGTGCTTCGTATTAGAGGTATAGTGTCAATATGTTCTACAGAAGCGTTAGTGTTTAGAGATAAAGCATCGAATTTCTTCTGGAACATTGAGTTTTTTATGATGTTCATTGTGTCTTCGAGATCCTTTCTCCGTTTGTTTTCTTCCTGATTAAAAACAAGGGAAATGCCTTTAGGTGAGGGTGTTTTGATATTACTTTGAGCTGCTCTGGCTGTTTCCATGACAATCAGGGGCCCAGTTACTTGTGTCGACTGTGTGGTGGAGGCTTTGTGGAGCATTCGAATGAACCTTTCATCGATCTTTGTTTCTGAAATGTGACAATGTGTCATTTCTATTTATTGCTTTCGTGCCCAGAAATGTACGACATATACATTTTAATGGAACTAACAATTTCAGAAATTCTCAGTTCTATATTTGTGGTCGAATTGCTTTTATGAAAAAAGGTAGCAAGCAAAAAAATAACTATAACTTTCATATGTTACCCACCCACTGACAGGTTAGAAGTCGATTTTTAAACACATTTTTTTTTATTTTTACTTTTTTCTTTATACTGTAGTTATTCAAATTTATACAGATTCGTTACACTACTTATGACCCATAAGTGTGCAAAGTTCTCACCAATACAGATTAATCAAGCCCAAACACTAGGTAGCTACTGTTAACTATTGAGGAGTTCGCTCAACAATCATACTATTTCATTATTGGGCTCTTAATGACAATCACATCCCATCTAAGAGTAACAGTTCTCAAAATTCAAATAACTCAAGCCCAAACACGGGGTCATTGCTGTTAATGTCCGAGGAGTTCCCTCGACTGTCATTCGGCTCCATCATTAGATCGACTCTAGACCTACATCAAATTGTAGTGCTCTAAAATACTTAATGAAAAAATAAACAAACGCACTAGTTGCCCCTATAATTTTTCAATATCTCCCTTTTTTCCCTGGGATCTCATCATTAGATCCATACCTGGTGCAAATGGGACCATATCGGGGGTGCGACCTTTTGAACAAAAAAGGATTTTTAAAATCGGTTGATATTTGGCTGAGTAGTCGTCGAACAAACAAAAAAAAAAAAACATTTGTACATCATACCTCCTCCTTTTTTTGAAGTACCACCTTCAAATAATTGGAAAATTGATAATAGAGGTAAATTAATAGTGTTGGCAAACCACAATTTCTCGCTACGGATACATACTCGAGTGACGTCATACTAACCATTAATTTTCTTGACAATATAGTTGAGTCCTAGGCAAACCATGAAGAAAATCAGTACTATAAATAGGTAGACCCACCATTCTAACTCCAGAAACTAAAAAGAAACACATAATTAGTTCCTTAATTATTTACCTACCACACGGCATATAAGACATATTTTGCTTTGAACATAATTTATTGTTAATTACCAACCACGTCTATTTTGGAATTTATTTGTCAATTTTAATTGTTTCTAAAATGTATGAGTCTCTTTAGAAATTCTTTAGACATGGTGGTTGAGTACGAGTACTCTATGACAACCATTGTCACAATGAACCTTTTTGCAAGTCCTGTGATGTCTTGAAGAGGGCGAAGAGAAAATATATTAAATTAGGACAATGTTACAAGGTACTTGTTGGTACTTGGTACTTGGTTTATGTCGCAAAACATCTGGAAAAATCTCCTGTCTAATGTCAAAACTCTCAAACGATACTCAATTTAAGTCGCGCTTCAGTATAGTTCTGTCACAACAAATTCTTTGTAAAATGACAGATATGGATGATATTCAAGTACGACTTAAAATTGAGTAACCTTTCAGTATTCGGGCGTAAGTGTCATCAATACTCAATACCGAAAAGAAATAATAAATTTTAGTCCACTGTCTTAGGTCTCTGTAACAGCACTTCACTAAGCTCGATCTTCAGTTCTTCGCATCAAATGACGGCCTTTCACTATTCGTTCCCATACCTAGAGAGGGTTGGTGGTGTTGGAGGGTGCCCTACACCACATTGGGCACTTCACCACATAGACAATATGTTTATATCATTCGTTCTTTCGCATCACTTAGCAGGAATAAAACATTATTGAGTAATTATGGTCATGGTACGAAATAGAGTAAGATTGTTTTAAGCATGAAACAAAACTTTCTTATTATAAGATTGTTTCATAAAAGGTTGTGGTAGGCCCCCTGAACATATCCATGTCAACGTCGTAAAAATATTAAAATAGAAGGTATGTCTACTATACGATTTCAAAACGATTAAATAAGATAAAAATACTAACGCTCATTATTTTCGTATCCGATAGTTAATAAAACTTAAATATTATTAATTCGATGAAACAATTTTTTCTCAATATTTTCTGACATTCTTTTCTGCCTCCTGATTTCTGTCACTTGAAAATTTTCTTAAAATGCTTTATTGAGGTTTTGTTACTTCTAGTAATTCGTTGGGTTTAAACCTTTTTTATTATTAATGCAAAGTAAATCTTGAAGTAAACTTAAATAACTACTTTTTTGAAACTTACGTAAATCCCATTAAAAGACAAAAGACACGAAATTCATTCAATTCAGGCATTATCTATACTGAATTTCTAAAACTAAAACGGACAATTTTTTTTTAAATGAACATTATCTAAATACTTATACTGAGTAGGACAACATATACAACATCCTACGACCTGTACAAAAAAAGTATGTGTTTAAAAAAAGGCGAACACAGTCTCTTGAAACAACGACTGCGGCACCTGGCTACTATAGACGAACATACACACATTGACACGAAGGACATCTGTCATTTTCCTGGTAACGTGGTAACCCATTGCACACGCACACATAAACAACCCACTGCCATTTTGATGATTCAATCATTTGTAAATATATTTTGTTCGCCTTTTTCCCTTGAAAAAGAACTTGAAATATTATGGCTGAAATAATACACAAAGATAATAATAATAATCATCATCATGTCAGCCATAGGACGTCCACTGCTGAACATAGGCCTCCCCCAATGACTTCCAGATAGGCTGGTTGGAAGCGACCTGTATCCAGCAGCTCCCTGCAACCTTAATGAGGTCGTCTCCGCTAATAAAAAGATATTAATAATAATGTAACTTGGGAGCATGGTCCAAGTTAACGGTGGTTAGGGCTCCAGAGACGGAAAACCTCCTCACAATGCGCGCCGTTTCAAGGAGAACTGCCTTCTGTATCAGGCTCTTGACCCAACTGCCTAACGCTAGCCTCCTAAGGTGGTTGTCGAGGCTATTAGGGATTAACCATATGGATGTAACTTGTAATAAATTCGATACCTTGTTTAATAATAATTAACAAAATAATAATAACTATGTGTTATTAATTTTGAATAACAATACACGAGCACACATCAAACTCATGTTAATTAAATTATTTACGTATTAACGTAAGCTTACTGTAACAAACTGCTCTAAATTGAAATAAGGCGTTTAGGAGCCACGTAACCAGGGTAGTAATCTCTGTGTAAAGGGCAGTTTAAACTATTCGTTGTTGTATCAGTTGTTTTTTACTAGATGGAACGCAGAAATATTTCGTTACTGCTGTTTTCTGCCATTCTGTGATGGGGTGATACTATCTTCCAAATTTAATTTTTTTTTATATTTGGTATAAGCAAATAGCTTCAATTTTAAATTTTTTGTTGACTTTCGAAAGTGCGTTTCTGGTCTAATTGAAATAATGATTTTGACTTTGACTTGGTAGTCAAAGTCAAAATCATCAGCTCAAAAGACATGAAATGAAGACAATGCTTGAGACCACTCAAGCATTGTCTTCATTTCATGTCTTTTGAGCTAAGTGACTTAGGTAAGTACAGCAATATAGCAATATAAAAATTTAAAAGCAGCGTCAATTAACCGAGTTCTTTTGCGGTTAAAATTTGAAAATGACAATAAAAATATCGAACACAGCATTGTAAACATACCCTTAGTCGAATTTATCAGGGATTGTACGGTAACGAACGTATTTAGAGTAGAGACTGTTAAGAATCGTTAACAAGCAAAAGCGTGTGTTCTCGTATGTACTTACTAGTTGAAATGTATTGTTGTGCGCGGTTGTACCGGCACCTCGATATGACAAAGGTCCTCTTTGATGAAAGGTAAATTGTTCGGGACTGTACTGTTGTACCTTGGCTTGGTGGCCCGGAGATTTAAGGCGCTCGCTTCTCATGCATGAAAGTCGGGTCGAAACCTACCAACGGCAAGTACCAATTTCAATTTAGACAGCACTGACAACCGGTGAAGGAAAATATCGTAAAGAAACCAGGGCTTTTAATCTCTAATTATAAGTGTAGTGATTAATGACTCAAACCTTTTTCGTGCAAGAAGAGGCTCCGTCTTCAACAGTGGTCCTTTTATACCTCTAGGCTAGGATGTTGATGATGTTGATGATGTACCGATGTATATTTGCTCTTGAGGTGTATTCAATTGAATATAATTCTTAAGGTTTGAATATAGGATAGGTCAAGGATATTGAGTGTTCTGTATGGTGTGATTTAGCACACGAAACAATTCTTTGTGTGATCCACAAATTGTTGTTTCGGGTCTGGGTGTGTCAAGTGTATGTAAACTTGGATGTTTCGAATCAAGCCCAAACACAAGGTAGTTAATATAAACCGTTGAGGAGTTCTCTCGACTGTCTGTCGGCTCCATCATCAGGTCGACTCCAGACCCTTATCAAATTGTAGTGTTTAAAAATCGACATTGAAAAACAAAATACACGCATTACTCGCCCCTACAATTTTCGAAAGTTCGCCTTGGTTTCCCTAAGATTCCATACTCAGATCCTGACCTCATGGAAATGGGACCATTTCGGGAGTATTATACCCTTTCAAACAAAACAAGAATTTTGGAAATCGGTTCACAAATAGCGGAGTAATCGTCGAACAAAAAAAAAAACAATCAGCCAACAACATAGTACCTTATTATGTTTTCGGCTTACTCACGTAATAATTTGACGAGGAACTTGACTAGTTTCAAGCCATGCTAGAGGCTCATATTCATGAGCAGCATTTCGCGACCCGCGACGCGGCGACTGTCGCGCTGCTACTGTACTGTACAGTACATAATAATATTTAGTATGTCTCACGAAAGTAACAATACAAACATAGTACCTCTTCCTTTTTTGAAGTGGATAAAAAAAATAAACATGCCAATGTAGGATGTTAAAATATAATTCAAATTGAAGCGTGTTCGCCCGACACACCGACCCGTGTATTTTTCTTAGTTGAACACCGTTATCAAGGTGCTTAAGTTACATAATGTTACATGTATGCCGTTTTAAAAGCCTTGCCGACTTCAAAGAACTTTGTTTTGCTTTTGCTTCCAATG